TGTGTCTGTGTCCCCTCGTGAAATAGTGTGCAGTGGAGGTCTCTTGTTGTGGTGCTAGATGTATGTTTAGAGCTAAACCAGCCCCCGCACCCTCCACCTGGCCCTCCTGCCCCTGGCATCTCTGACCCTGGCCCAGGGATCCCTCACAGGGTTGGGGGAGGCAGAGCAGAAGGACTGGCCCCTTCCTAGGGTTATGAGCTGGACCTGTTTCCACTTTCGGTCTTCCCGGGAAGCAACCCTATTTAGTACTCGTGGTGGTGGGTGGGAGGGTGGGCACAGGCCCGGGATATTACCTTGCTCTTCTCATCCATCCAGGCCCTCCCTCCCTCAGCCTCCGCCTCCCTCATCTGTTCCCTGATGTCATTCCCTGTGCTATCTTCCCTTGCCCAGGGCCTGTCTGTCTCCTTCCCATGTGGCTTTTCTTTGTCTTCCCCAAGGCTGAGTATCCCAGTTTTATCTGCTCCTGAGACTGAGCCCAGATCCCCAGATCTGATCTGATTTCCAGTTCAAGGAAGCTGGTGGGGGAGCTGGGCCTTACCCTGATGTAGGAGGAGCATATAGCTGGGGGGTGCAGAGCCCATGTGGGTACCTGACCCCCAGGGGATGGAAATGCAGGTGAGTCTCCTTGGGTCTGAGAGTTTGGCCTGCAGGGGCAAGTTCCTCTTTTCTCTCCCTGTCTTCTCCTCCTCCTCTCCCCAGAGCCCCCTTGAGCCCCTCTGCCTATGTCCCTCTGCCTCCTCTCCATGCCCCTAGCTGCTGTGGCTTGATGGCTTGATTCTCCTACCCTTACCACACCATGTGCCAGGTGGCATCTGCCTTACTGCCGTCCCTGAGGAGTTGGGTCATGCCGGCCAGTTGTCAGGTGGAAATGCACAGCTAGAGCAGAGGGCATGTCGGTGATGATTGGTCCCTGGGGGAGGTCTGGCTGGCTCCAGCACACTGGGGCATCTAGGTATCTCTCTGACTATGGATTCCTGGGAGTGGTAGCTGTTCTGTTTGAATCTGGTAGAAGGGACAGGGCTTTGTGGACTAGGCCCGGAGGGAAGGTCAGCGGAGAAGGCAGGCAGGGCCCAGTGAGGGGAGCATGCCTTCCCCCACTCTGGCTTGCTCTTGGTCACAGGGCAGTTCTGGGCACTTGAACTCAGGCCCCAGCAGAAGCACAGGCCCAGTCCTCGCTGCAAGCACAATGGCCTGAGTGGGATTTCCGGTTAGGCCGGGTGGGAGGGGAGGCTCTCTGGCTTTAGTTTAGTTTTGTTTTGTTTTCCAAATCAAGGTTACTTGCTCCCCTCTGCCTACAGACCTCGGTTCTTGGCTTGTCCTCACGCAGTCGGAACTCCCTACCCCTTTCAGGAGAGTGGTTTTAGGCCCATGGGGCTGTTGTGTTCCAAGTGAGGTGAGAACATGGATGGTGGAGGCTCCAGCTGTGTGTGGGGCCCGAAGGGGAGTGGGTTCTCACGCAAAGAGCATCTGCCCATTTCCCACCGCCCCTTCTCCCAACAGAAGCCTGCCTGGGCTGTTTGGACAAAAATCCAAACCCCACTTGGCTACTCTGGGCTGGCGGCAGCTTGGAACCCAACACCTAGGGCTTCCAGGCCAACCTGAGCCAGGGGCCTCTGGTAGTTCTCCTAATGGTCCTTTAGGCTTGGGCCACAACATATGATTGGCTCTCCCTCCTCTCTGGTACCTGAAGAGGGACCCTAGGTCTAGGCCCTTCTTCCCCCTCCCTTCCTTTCCCCTACCCTAGACCTGCGGCTCCCTTTCACTTCTCTCTCTGGTAGCTCCAGGAGGCTTGTGGTCCAGCTCCCTGCCTAGCACTCATGACCTGTTGGATGTTATCGTCAATCGATTTCCTGTCCTATCTGCCTCTTTGGCTCAGATCTTTATGGCCACACCCTGGCTCTACCCTTGGGAAAGATGGATCCCAGCATGTGGCCCAGCTTGTTCAGGCCCTGGGATGCTGCATCTCCAGGCAACTATGCACTTTCCCAGGGAGGGAACCAGTATGAGAAGTGGGGGCAGGGCACACATTCATCTCTGCAGGAAGGTCTGGCCTGGGGTGGGGTGGAGGAGGGCCCAGGTCAGTTCTGGGGTCCCAGTGACCTGCTTTGCCATTCTCCTGGTGCCACTGCTGCTCCCTATTTCTGGAGATGGACGTTCCCCAGCTGGCAGTTGAGCTGCCTGAGCCAATGTGTCTCTTTGGTAACTGAGTGAACCATAATAAAGGGTAACATTTGGCCCTGTGTGTTCTGCTGCGTCGTGTGTCTTCCTGTGGGTTTGCGTGGAGCCTCATGGCAGGGTGTGAGGCAGGGGCATGAAGGTGTGGAGGCTGTGTGGGTCTGTGGTCTGTCATTCCCCGGGACCTACAGCCATGCGACCCTGTGTGGCTCTTTCTCTGAGGCAGCCTTGAGTAGACAATGAAATTGCCACCGAGGCCCCCTGCCTTGGAAGGAGGAAGTGGAAGAAACAGGCTGGATCCCTGGGTGAGGGATGGTTTGGCCCAGATGGTCCACTGCGGCCAAGGGCAGGGGTAGAGCAGAGGCCCCACCTCAGCGCAGGGCAGGGGACCCGCAGCTGGTTCAGCCACCTCAATGAACACAGGTTTCTGGGGCCTGTGAGGCTAGAAAATGAAGGGAACAGGGAAGCAGGCCCAGTCTGCATTCTCTTGCCGTCTTCCCTTTGCCCATACAATGCCCTCCACCTGGATCACTATTGGGATCCTCTGTCTAAGCTACTGGCTGTCCTTCAAGATTCACCTCAAGCCACT